GCCTCCTGTAGATGTGTGTACTGACCCCCTAGTCCCAGCGAGGGGAACCTGAGTCAGACCCTGGGAACTATATGAGGCAGCTCGGGTTTGCACCCCCTGGCATGAGGCCAGGGGCTCGGTGCAGGTGGCACTACATGGGAGGTCCAAGAGGGACAGGACCCTGGGAACTACACGAGGCAGCTCGTGTCCCAAACACCTAGTAAGCAGCCAGGATCTCAGTGCATGGATGGTACACAGTGCGGTCCAAGTTGGACTGAGGCCCTGGAGCCGTATGAGGTGGCTCGGGTCCCCAACCCCTGGCACAAGGCCAGGAAGACTCAGTGAAGGCAGGACTGCATGGAGGGTCTGGGAGCAGACCCAGGCCCTGGGCACCACATGGAGGGACTGGGATCTACAACCCTCCCCTGTCATGAGGCCAGGCCCTTAAAGTTGAAGTCTTGCATGGAGAGCCCTGGTTGAAACCAAGACCCCAGAACCCTTCAAGGTGGCTCAGGGGCCCAACACCAAGCAGAAGAGTAAAGCTCTCGGTGCACACCTTGGTATACAGGGTCACTGGCAGCTGGCGGGCCCAGAGGGAGCCAGAGACAGCTGGAGTCTCAGCAGGAAAGGTGGCAACTCACCAGGAAAGAGACAAGGACCCTCCTCCTGGAGTTGTGGAAGGGGAAGGTGTTCCCCTTCTGGGCTTCCCCACAGGTTGGGGAAGCCCAGAAGGAAGGGCTCCCCAAGTATGAAGTTTTATTTTGGGTTACAGGATATTTTGGCTAGGCTGAGGAAAGCCTGAAGGGCACCAGGGGAGTTTCTTCCCCGCCCCCCCAAATGGCCACAGGAACGTAGTCAAGGCTCCAGACTAGCCTGGGCCTTGGTGTTCCTAGAAGAGTTACTTATATTCAAGGGTGTTCCACCTTATATTTTGTGAGTGGGCACTGGGTATTATGTGGTTTATATTTTATGCATTATAAGTGTAAGTTGATAAAGTCTAAAATTATTGAGTTATATTGAGATCTTTAATCTGATATTATGAGGCTAAGTGTTTGATAGAGGAGTATATAACTGTAGATTTATATTTAATAACTAAATAAATTTAGATTTTGATAGAGTTTAAGGTTATAAAACACTTGTTGAAACTTAGGTTAGACTATATTCTTATATTATAAAAGCCTAAGTCTGTCTGTCTATAATGTTTCATTCGCACTTTGATTGGTTGACAAACAGCCAATCAGAGTGCAAACAAGTGTTTGAACAGGAGCTAGCGGCATGGTGGAGTGCTGCCATGATGGTGGGGACACAGGGTATGGAAGCTCCCTGGAGGTGGGGGCAATGGAATGGATGGAACAGGGGGGCAAGGCCAGCAGTGCTGGCCTTGCCCCCCCAGCTCTGCTCCCTGCAGGTGGCAATGATGAGAGGGCAGGCCACCAGACCTGGTCTCGCCCCCCCACCTTACTCCTTGCAGGTGGTGACAGCAGCAGTGTGGAAGGGAGCAGGGTCAGGATGCCATGGTTCTGGCCTTGGCCCACCCTTCCTCCCTTTCATCATCCCTGCCTGCAGGGCCCCATGTGGGATGACGTGGCAGTGATAGTGGTAGGAGCTATTAGCAGCAGGAGAACAGCAGAATAGTTTGCTTACTGGCACCTTCTAGTGCTGGGAGTTGGCGGTCTAAGCCAGTGTTTCCCACTAGAAGGTGCCAGTAAGCAAACTATTCTGCTGCTCTTCTGCTGCTAAGGCTGTTCTAGCTTTCCTCCTACGTTGTGTCCCCTGGGAGAACTGCAAGATGGTTTTGGGGAATAGTGGGTGCACGTGGCAGAGGGAGGGGAAAAGTGGGCCTAGGACCCACACAGTGGGGTGGGAGGAGGACCAGCAGGAGCTGAGAAACAAGCCAGCTCACTGTGGTGGGGGGAGCAGCAGGCCCGGGCCAACCTGGTGGTGGTGGGTGAATGGGAGGAGCGGGCTTGGAGTTGACAGGGGAAGGAGGGGGTGGGGGATGAGTGGGCCTGGGCCCAAGAGGGGGAGGAGGCTCACTCTTCCCCTCCCCCAGCCACTGCCGCATTGGGCTGGCCCCACTGCTCCTCCCCATTGCTGCAGCGGCCTGGCTTCTCCCCTGGCTCAGGCTTGGGCCTCCTCCCCACCTTGGGCCTGGGCTCACTCCTCCCCCACCCCCCTTTCTCTTCCCCCCCGTCAGCTCCAAGCCCATTCCTCCCATTTCCCTGTTGCCACTGGGTTGGCCCAGGCCTTCTGCTCTCCCCACTGTGGTGGGCTGGCTTCTCCCCACCCTCAGACCCAGTCCTCCCCTGCATCAGGCCCAGGTCCACTCCCCCCCTCCCCCGACTGCTGCGGCAGGGAGGTGGGGAGTGGGCCCAGACGGTGGGGGGCATGGTCCCCCCCGGTCATTGCTGGTGGGCAAATGGCTAGTTTTATTATAATAGTTAACTGTATCCTGATAGAGGTATAGAACCATGTAAATATTGCCAATAATCCTTGTTATAGTGCATATGTCTTGTGTATTTTATAATTGTAAATTTTTAGTTAATAGATTTTACAATATATGATTTTCACTGAGGCCCTGCTGGGATCCTCCTCTATTATTTATCTGGTATTTAGCAGTAACATATCTGTATCTTTAGGAATGGTAGACTAATATCTATCCATCTCTATATAGATAGAATAAGGCTGATAGTTTAATAGTATATATAAATATATGTATTTGTGTTTATGTTTATATTTATCTTTTAATGTAAATAAATGTGTCCTTGGTTAAGTTCATAGTGTCCTGGCTTGGCTTTCTGTAGGGAAAGGAGAGAAAAGTTCAGGTAGACAGCAGTTGTCCCCCCACAACACACCTGCCCTGCTGACATTTCTCTTCAACTGGAAAAGGTAGTACATACCTGAGTACACCTGGGTTAGAAGTCTAATACTACATCCATCTAGGTTTATCTTAAACCATTTTTAGCCATTTTGAAAGCAGTTTATGTGCACTGAACTTCTGTTTTTTTACAGGCTTGAACTGGTTTCTGATCACTTATATGGGTTTTGTGTAACTTTTGCCCCTAGCCTCAAAGACCAATAAATCAACACAAATATTTTCAGTTCCAGCATCCAATTTTGTCACTGCTAAAACTTAGGCCCTTTTCCCTAACAGCCACCCTACATCATAGATACTGGTATGGTTCTTTGTCTGGGAGCAATCTCTTATCTGGTCTGCTCTGATCAGCAGACAACCCCAATTATGGCTCATCTCAACCTTCTGAGGAGTTAGTCTCTACTGATCCCTTGACCCACAGCTTAGACTAGTGTTTCCCAATCTTTTCCAGCTGAAGGCACACTTACATTAATAAAAATTTTTTGCGATACACCTGTTAAGGCATTCCCCATTCTCATACCTTTTGTAGCTCAATGCTATGGCAAAATTCTGTAGCACACCTGTTCATTTCTGAACATACTTTTGTGCTGTGGCACACTGGTTGGGAAACACTGGCTTAGACCGCCAACTCCCAGCACTAGAAGGTGCCAGTAAGCAAACTATTCTGCTGCTCTCCTGCTGCTAAGGCTGTTCTAGCTTTCCTCCTACATTGTGTCCCCTGGGAGAACTGCAGGAACTTTCCAGTAGAACTGCCTATGTACTTTCCTGAACTGGAAAGTCAAGGCTGAAGAAGGCTGAAGCTAAAGAGAACAGAAGGTGACCTGGATTTCTGACTTCCTCAGTAAATGTGTTTCCATTTTCTGAATCAGTCGTAATTTTGCTTTTGGTTTTCAGCTCAAATGACTTCATTTAGAACAATTAGGTGTTTCTGCTCAAAATACAATTAGCAATTACAAGGAACCCTATAAAAGTAAGAACATTATCATCTCATTGCCTGACTGCTCACTGCTTCCCATTTTTGGTTATGAGCTGTTCCTTAAGGGAAGAGCAGATAGGACAGGAGCAAAACAACATAGGCTTTGATAAAAAAACATTGGCGGGAGGGCAGGGGAGAGAAG